GCGATGACGTCACGTCACCGTTGAAGCGCGCTGACGTCACGTCACCGTTGAAGCGCGCTGACGTCACATCACCGTTGAAGCGCGCTGACGTCACATCACCGTTGAAGCGCGCTGACGTCACATCACCGTTGAAGCGCGCTGACGTCACATCACCGTTGAAGCGCGCTGACGTCACATCACCGTTGAAGCGCGATGACGTCACGTCGCCGCTGAAGCGCGCTGACGTCACGTCACCGTTGAAGCGCGCTGACGTCACGTCACCGTTGAAGCGCGATGACGTCATGTCACCGTGGCTGCTCGTGCAGCCCCAAATCTCCAGTACACGGTCCCGATGGACAAGACGGACTCCGTTCGGCCTCCCCGTTCACCGACGGACGCGGCCCCGGCAGGCGAGGGGGTGGGGGGGTGGAGGAGACGCGGCGAGTCGAGCGAGGGGAGAGTCCGGGACGATGGTACCCCCCGGGGGGGTGAGGCGGAGGCGAGCGCTCAGCCGCCGCTTAGGCCTCCGTTGACTTGCACGGCGCTCGACTTGCGGAGTGGCGAGCGGCAGAGCGGAGTTTTGTTGAGGCGCTTTCAAACTTTGGCTGCAGTTTACATCGTCAACGATCGCGAATCGCGATTGTTAAAGCGCCGCGGTTTTTAAATGTCTCTTGTGATTTAGTCGAGTGGGGTTAAATTGTGTTCCCGTGTCTCGACTTTGTCGCGTTTGTTGTAACGTCTCAATATTGTTCAGACTGCAGTTTGAATCCGATGGTGTATTCAGCTCTTTTTTTTTTTACTGGTAGGAACCCACCTGGTTCCACCAGCCCACAGGGGATTATTGTGTCCGTCCGTCCGTCCGTCGTGCATCCAAAAATGGGAGGGCTGGGTGGAGAGGGTGGGGAGGGGCTGGGTGGGGAGGGTGGGGCAGGGCTGGGTAGGGAGGGTGGGGGGTGGGTAGGGCTGGGTGGGGTGGGGGGGGCTGGGTGGGGGGGCTGGGTGAGGGGGGGTGGGGAGGGGCCGGTCACCCCGTGGTGCCCTTATAAAACTCAACGTTTAACCTACTCACGCCGGCTTGTGCCCGTCCTCACAGTCGGGAATATTTGCGGAATACACCACGCCGCCGTTGACCCTGCAGGCCATTGACCGAGCAACCCAACGTTCCTACCAGCTCCCTCCGCAGGAATGTGTTCACAGATTTCCGGCCTAAGAATGTTACAACAACAACAACAAATAACACAAAAACCCACGATATAGGAGTGCAGAGTACAGGCAAGGTAAACGAATCACTTGGAAGAAATGTGTATATACAAATACAAATAAACTTATTATTAATCTCACGAGGTCTTGGACGAGTCTTGAGTGGGCGAGATTGCGATAAACAATCATCTTGTCCTACCTCAGGCATCACCAGCCGTGGCCAATCCACTGCTGGATGAAGGCCTCAATCCCCCCGACATTGATTCTTCGTCACGTGACATGACACCAAAAATGAATGTTGGTATGGAGGAAAACTTAACAAAGAGAAAACATCGGTGCGGTGTGAAAGGCCGAGGTTGGAAGGTGGGGGGAGAGGGTTTGAGGAGGGATTTGAATACTGAGAGAGAGGAGTTGATGTGGATAGGGCAGTTGCATAGATATGTGTGACTGGCTTCTGGTATCTCCGATGGCTCTCGCCTGACATCGAGTGGTCTGTTGCAGGTTTGGTGAAGTCGGGGAGCATATGCGTGGGAACATAGAAGTATGGTACAGCAGTTAATTTCGCTTCCCACCACAGAGCCCAGCGGCCCGCGTGGTGCGCGCCCATCCAAGGACTATGCCGGCCCAAACATGGTTGCCTTTCTTGATATGACTTGGGGCACATCTCGGGTCGTTTTGTATTTTTTTTTTATTTAGGCCGATTACCTAATAATGCTACAGATTATTGCTGTGTGGCGCTCCACACTTTAACAGAATCTCGGGCGGAAAATGTGAGAATTGTACTCTGACGCGGGCACACCAATGGCATGCTCTGCAGAGGTCGCAACCAGGTACCCGATACCCGTACCCTACCCGATACCCGGCTACCCGTACCCGGCAGGGTACGGGTAGCCGTTTGTGACCCTGGTGCGGCCGGGTACGGGTACGGGTAGGCCGTGAGTCACTGGTGAGTAACCGTTTGTCACTCATTTCCCAACATCTTGTCTCTTCTCACAATTCAAGTTCCTAGAATAAACCCACCCGCGCCTGCAACATGGCTTCATCCCAGAGGTCGCAATCGGGTACCCCCGGGTATCGGGTAGGGTACGGGTACGCGTTTGCGACCCTGGTGTGGCCGGGTACGGATAAGGAATCAAAAGCCATTTGCGACCTCTGATGCTTTGTCAATAAAGTCACATGCTGTTTACAGGCCAGCAGAGGTGCAGTGGGTTAGTGCACTGCGCTGTGAACCTTGCCACCTGAGTTCACTAAGACTATACGGATAAACTATTATTTTACCAAGTACGACCCACTGGGCTATACAGCTCTTTTTCAGCAGCGACCTGTCAATCAAAAATGATAGCTCAACGAAGTGGTGGCTTATCACGTAGAAATGTATAGCATTAGCCAAAACACTGTAAACGCACATTGATTCTAAATGTGGCGAGAAAAACCGGAGGACCCGGAGAAAAGTGAATGCGACCACGGGGAGAACATGCAAAGTCCCCATATACAGCAGCAGGCGTCATGGTCGGGATAGCGCCCACGACCTCCTGTATACCAGGCGAGGGAGATAACATCTCCTAGCCACCGCGAGGCTAATATCAGCGGCGGTGAATATTACAACCGGTCCTGGGCCCTCTCCCTTCACCCACCCACACTAACCAGTGCGGTTACGCTGCATGCGGAGGCCTTGATGCGGGCGTGGGTTAAGGGCTGTAAATCATCATGAGTATTGTTATGATTATCCAAGGCTGACTCAGTGCTCTATAAATATTATGTATAAATGAGTGGGTGGTCATGTTGTGCGGCTCGCTGCTTCTCGTCAAACCCTAACGCCTCTTTTCATCTCATCCCTAACCACAACACCAACCAAATTCATCACCCCAATTCCATTCCTAACCGCCTCTGCCCCCCTTTGTACCCGTGCATGGTTCTGTGTACCCGTATGTTGAACTTCTTTCGCACCGCACGTAGCCGACCGTGATAATCGGCGGTGCAGGGGAAGGACACCAAACTCGGCAAATTGCAACATTTTTCGATTTAAAGCTTTCGGGACTGCAGGGATTCATCTTCTTGGTTCTTTCGGTAAAGTCACGTAGAAGGGAAGTATTAAAATAATAAAAATAAAACATAATAAAATAATTCTCACGACATTTCGGCCACAACGCAAGCAGCCGTCCTTAGGTGAAGACCAGGTCTGTCGGGGAGACACCTGAGGACGGCTGCTTGCGTTGTGGCCGAAACGTCGTGAGAATTGTATTATGTTTTATTTCTATTTTATTATTTCCCTTCTACGTGACTTTACCGAAAGAACCAAGAAGAAAAATTGCAACATCCTTTGCTCCATCCCACGAGCCCCAAAGCCGTGTCTGTGTTGGTGGGAGCAGTGGAAATCTAACTTGGCCCCACTGGACTCGAGTGAAAGAGAATTTGTTAACTCCCCTCTGACCCCCCCCCCCCACCTTTGCCTCACCCCCCCCCCCTCCAGCCTCCCTCTCCACGATCTCGCTGTGGGCGAGCGTATCACGAGCAGTGAATCCTCACCAAATATAGAGCCGAGTATCGCTGGAACCCGGCACTTGGGCTGTGTACAAATAATCCTGAAAATAATCTCAATTTTAAAAATGTACATCCTTCTCTCGGAAACAAATTTTTATACGTGTAAACCGTTCCTCTTACAAACAGTGTTTATGTATTTTTTTTATCGTGAGGAAACGATTCGTAAACACTTTGGACTCCCACCCCCATATATTGTGGCATGCGCTGGCGTTTTCCTAAATAAGGGAAGAGTGGTTTTGCCAATCGGATGGGCATCGATGTGTTTGCTCCCATCTCCCATTCGCAGCCCCCTGAGTCAGGGGCGGAAATTCCACGATTCCATATTGGCTCATTGTGACGGTGCCGCCGATCTCTACTGCCGCTATTCCACGCTTCGCTCGCCAGCGGGCTGGATTCCCACCATCGCTCGATCGGGGACCCACCTCGCCCACCCGCTCACTCGTCCACTTAAAAGTCACTCGTCCGCGAATCGTCAACTCTTCGTCCAACAACTTTACCCATTCACTTATTCACCTACTCGCTTCTAAACAATCATCCGTCCCTCTCAACCCTCCCACCCACTCAATCCACCCCTTAATCATGGCTCTTCGTTTAATGCGTTTGCTATTGGGTGCTATCCTCATTGGAAGGGCCGCCACCGCTGCTGCTGCTTTTTTCATAGACAGACAATCCACAGTAGTTAATCAGCCCCTGTGGGGGGGGGAGAGATGTTGCCATGGGTACCGTCCCTCACTACGTGTTGCCGTGGGTATCCTGCTTCTCTGCGGGTTGCCATGGGTACCGTGCTTCCCTGTGGATTGCCGTGGGTACCGTGCCTCTCTGTGGGTTGCCGTGGGTACCGAGATTCTCTGTGGGTTGCCGTGGGTACCGTGCTTCTCTGCGGGTTGCCGTGGGTACCGTGCCTCTCTGTGGGTTGCCGTGGGTACCGAGATTCTCTGTGGGTTGCCGTGGGTACCGTGCCTCTCTGCGGGTTGCCGTGGGTACCGAGCTTCTCTGTGGGTTGCCGTGGGTACCGTGCTTCTCTGCGGGTTGCCGTGGGTACCGTGCCTCTCTGGGTTGCTGTGGGTACCGAGATTCTCTGTGGGTTGCTATGGGTACCGTGCCTCTCTGCGGGTTGCCGTGGGTACCGTGCCTCTCTGCGGGTTGCTGTGGGTACCGTGGGGTGACACCCAAGGGCACTGCCGCCACGCCGTGGCCAATTTATTCAACAAGAAAGCCACTTGTCGCCACCCCCCGCATCACGTGGCTCGCGCTAAATCATTCAGCCGCATCGCAGTATAGAGATTTATAAAAGTGTAGATACATTTTATTGAAGGTTAAATCATAGAATATACCCAACTGCGCATTTCATCGAGAGAGTTAAAAGCATGGCTAAAACTTCGAGTGTAGCGGCGATGGTCGCAGGCATTTGCAGCGGTGCTGGTGATCGTGTTATTGCGTCATTTGTGGTGGTGATATCATCGGCGGTAGTTGTGGTGGTGATGAGGCATGCAACTGGTAGTGGCGGTGACCGCGTATGTGGTTGTGGTGCACGTAGTGCACGTGGTAGTTGTGTTGTCACACCACGACGGGTACGCCGCGCTGGGGGACGTAGGGCGTGGGGCGGGTCACCATGGTGATGCAGTCGAGGATGGGGCACACGCTGAGACACAGCGTGCAGCCCGTGCAGCGATCGGTCACGAGCGGGACGTGGTCGTGCTCGCCAAACTCTATCGCCTGCACGCACACACGCGCACACACAAAGATCCCCCGTATAGCCTTCACCAGACTGTCGGGGCAGGTGCTGTTGGCGCGTAGCAGCACCCAAGGGCGTGCGGTGGCCCATCGCCACGCCCGGCCGCCTTTTATCTCCCAGCGATGATGGTTACACACGCCACCACGAGGTACTCATTTGAGGCCGACCAGACCTAGGGGAAGCCCAGGACCGGTTCAGCTAATCGTCACCGGTGTCGGTGACCGTGAGCGGGAATCAACCGGAGTTTGTAGAGCGGCACGCTAACCGCTGCACCACCGCTACCCATGCGCACACGTGGGTGTGCTTACAGGCGATTACATACGCCAACAACAAGCGCCATTCGTCACCGAGTGGCGATGACTTCACCTCGGCACGAGTCCCAGGCGATGTGCACTTTTAAGGCCACGCAGAAGTGTCGAACGCCCGTTTGGCAGGAGGCCACGGGACAGACCCAGGTGCTGCCATGGAGTTGACTGGCAGACACGCTCCCACCACCTGTGCGCTCCCCCCCCTCGACTGCCAACTTTTTACATACAATCATCATTCGCCACTAACTGGTAATGATGTCACCATGGTGCTTGTGCCAGGCTATGTGCACGTTAAGGCCTCGTCAATTATCAAAATACAAACCACGTGGACACACGCGCACTGCCACGCACCTGGTATCCTGAGTCGTTGCACGTCAGGTAGCACTTCCCGCAGTTGATGCAGAGCTCGGGGTCCACCACGGCCACCACCTGCTGCGAGTTGTCCAGCTCCGCGTAGGAGCCGATGTGCGCCAGAGCCCGGCCAATCACGTCCTGGGGTGATGGCCAAAGGTCATTGGGTCTCTTGGTTCCTGTGTCTCTGTGGGCCCCGTGGCCCTGGCTCCGTGGTCCTGGTATCCCTGCGTCTGTCTCGTTCTGTGGCCCACGTTGCTGCGCCCGAGTAGCTCTCTGTGTCTCTGTCTTTCAGTGGCCCCATGACGCTGTGCCCCAGTGTCCCTGTGTCTGTCTTTCAGTGGCCCCGTGACGCTGTGCCCCAGTGTCTCTGTCTTTCAATGGTCCCGTGACGCTGTGCCCCAGTGTCCCTGTGTCTCTGTCTTTCAGTGGCCCCGTGACGCTGTGCCCCAGTGTCTCTGTGTCTCTGTCTTTCAGTGGCCCCGTGACGCTGTGCCCCAGTGTCCCTGTGTCTCTGTCTTTCTGTGGCCCCATGACGCTGTGCCCCGGTGTCCCTGTATCTCTGTCTCTCAGTGGCCCCGTGACGCTGTGCCCCAGTGTCCCTGTGTCTCTGTCCCCCCCTTGTCCCCGTGTCTCTCGCCACCTTGACGTGCGGCGTGGCTTTGCTGGGTGCGTGCCGGGGCTCCGTGGTGGGGGCCGACATCTCTCCGCCTCGCTGCTTCGCCTCGGCGAGCAGACGGCGCCGCTCCTCCAGGAAGGGCCCGAAGTGCGGGAGGCTCTGGGGGGACAAGGCGGCGCGGGGGGGGGGAGCGCGTCGCTGTGAGCCGGGCGGCAGTCGCGGAAGGGAAGACCTTGCATCTCTCTCTCGCATCTCTCTCTCTTCTCGGAGCAGCCAGGTTTGCAAGGACGGCGGACGCTATATGAGCAGGTTACAGATATACCAACAGCATCACCAACATCGTCGAGCACGGTCAGCCCACTGCTGGATGAAGGCCTTCTCCCAAGGCCTCTCACGATCAGGCGACGTTGTAATCTGCTACCACCTATTAACTAACTATAACTCTAAATAACTTTTATTTTCGTAGATGAGACCCGCTGAGCTATAACATCTCTTTTTCAGAAGTGACCTGGCTACCACAAATTATAGCTCAACGAAGTGGCCTATCATCATGGATGTTGATTCTAAATGTGGAGGGAAAAATCGGAGGACCCAGAGAGAAATCCACGCGCCCATTGGAAGAGAGAGAGACACGCAATCTTCAAATATACAGCAGCAGGCGTCCGGGTCGGGATCAAACCCGCAATTTCCTGCATACCAGGCGAGGGAGTTAACATCTCTTAGCCACCGCAGCGCGTCCCAACCTGAACGAGAGCCAATAGCGATTGCTGCTGCGGTGTTTGTCATCATGGTTGTAGTGTCACGTGACACCACGGCTCAACGGTAAGTTCGATCGTACGTCACACCCCTGCTGCCCCCCCTCTCTGGACCGTCAACGAGCCGGCGAGCCGACCTTGCCGAGGAGCTGCGGTAGGCGGGGCAGGGTCTTGCCGCGCTGGTGCTGCGCCGTGGGGGGGCTCTGCCCCTCCCAGGAGCGGAGTTCGTCCACGGAGCCCAGGTAGAGGAGCGCTCGCAGCCCCGAGCAGTAGTCGTCGATCAGCGTGAAATCCTGGTTCTGTATCGCACTGCTCACCTACGGCACGCACACCCACGGCGTGGCACGTACACTCAGCATGTAAATACAGCACGTACACTCAGCACGTACACTCGGCACGTACACTCGGCACGTACACTCGGCACGTACACTCAGCGTGTAAATACAGCACGTAAATACAGCGTGTGCAGTGGAAGCAGCACACAGCATGAATGCACACAGCACATGAGTACCCAAGACAAAGACACACATGCATACACTTCCCCACAGTATGCCCACACATACACTGCACACACCACATCCGTGCATGCCCAAAGCACGCGCACGCTCATCAGACGTGCAGACACACAACACGTGCGCACGGACACACACACAGCACACACCACGCATGTGCATGGTGTGTGCACTATCCACACACACAGCACATGCGTGGTGTGTGCGTGTGCACTATGCACACACACACAGCACACTATGCACACTATGCACACACACAGCACACGCGTGGTGTGTGCGTGTGCACTATGCACACACACACAGCACACTATGCACATACTCGCACACACAGCACACACCACGCATGTGCTGTGTGTGTGTGTGCACTATCCACACACACACACACAGCACACTATGCACACACTCACACACACAGCACACTATGCACACACACAGCACACTATGCACACACACAGCACACTATGCACACACACAGCACACTATGCACACACACAGCACACTAGGCACACACAGCACACTATGCACACACACAGCACACTATGCACTCACACACACAGCACACTATGCACTCACACACACAGCACACTATACACTCACACACACAGCACACTATGCACACACACACAGCACACTATGCACACACAGCACACTATGCACACACACAGCACACTATGCTCACACACACACAGCACACTATGCATACACACACACATCACACTATGCACACACAGCACACTATGCACACACTCACACAGCACGCGCACACGCACACGCACACACACACAGCACATACACTCGCACACACACAGCACCCCACCTGCAGCACCGAGGCCCCACAGTGCAGAAACTGGAGGCCGGCCTCTGCCGAGTCAATGCCGCCCGTGGCCATGATGGGGAAGCCCGGCAGCGCTTTGGCGATGGCCGACACGGCCCGCAGCGCCACGGGGCGGATCGCATTGCCTGCACGCGCACGCAGGCACGCACGCAGGCACGCACGCAGGCACGCACACGCAGGCACGCACGCAGGCACGCACTCAGGCACGCACACAGGCACGCACGGCGGTCAGACATCTGTATATAAGACTCCTGCATAAACGCGTTCAATAAAGCCGTGAATGACGGATGGTGGTTCCGTGTCCCGTGGTGCGGTGCGATGTAGAGCGTTGTGGCGTGGATGTGTGGTGCGGTATCACCAGACAAGGTGCGGTGTGGTTGTGGATGTGTGGTGCGGTATCACCAGACAAGGTGCGGTGTGCATTGGTGTGGCTGTGACGGTCTCGCCGAACACACCAATCGGTGTACAGCGCCGGTGTGGTGTCATTGTGACGTGAAGTGGCGAGTAGCGTGGTGGTTATCGTGATGGTTGTTGTTGCCGTGGTTGCTGCGGAGGTTGTGGCGGCGGTTGGTGGTGGCGGTCTCACCGGACATGCCGCCGTACGTGGTCCTCTGCTCGACCCCCACCGCGGGCCACGGTCGCCCGTTGGCGCGCAGGCCCATGAGGCCCGACACCGTGTTGGTGGCCGTCACGCCGTCCGCCCCTCCTGCTCCCGCGCACACAGACACACAAAAGGTCCCCAACCCCGGTATGGCCTCTAGCGCACTGGTGGTTATCCTCAACCTTACAACTCTTTTTTTTAAATCCTTTATATTAAGTTTGCTTGCTTGCTTAGGACCGTGCAAATCTTTCGGTCGTTTTTTAACCCACTTCCCGTGATCCAATCGAGCTGACATTTTCCACACAGACTCGTTGTGCGTGACAATGTTCGTGTAAAATTTTTTCCAAAATGTTACACTTTTTAGGACAAAAATATTATATTTAATTACCAATTGCTTAATGGTGCAATGCAATCATCTGGCCCATAGGTGGCAGCCATCTCAAGCCAGAGGACGAGAGGACTCTCGCCGCCACGCATATAAAGGATTTATAGTGAAAAACTTTGTTTTTACGGGTTATACTTATTTTTGGCTGCTGTTGAATTTTGTTTCAACCGAATAAGCCAGCCCCAGCACCCTCACTCCTTGGTCTGGCTCCAACGTGCGTTTTAGACTTGAGATTATTTTTCAAATAGAGGGGATAAATCCTAACCAGCAAGTAACTGCAAGCGAATAAAAAAAAAACCACACGGACCGTCCGCACGCGCCCCGCCATTCGTTCACGCTCTCTGGTTACTAAACTCTTTGGTTCTTTCGGTAAAGTCACGTCGTTAGAAATAAAATAAAACAAAAAACGACTTTTCGATTGCAACACAAGCAATCTTCATCAGGTGCGACCGTCACAGCCAGATTTGCTGTATCACTTCATTTTTTTACCTACGTGACTTTACCGAAAAAACGAAGAGTATCATTTCACGTGTTTATCAATCGCCTCGCCGTAACCCACCATCGGACATTGCCACGTTACCCCCCAAGGGTCCGCGTACCCCCCTCCCTCACCCCCCCCCCCAGCTCTTCCCACTGCTCACCCCCCCACACCCTCCCCCTCACTCCCCCAGCTCTCCCCACTGCTCACCCCCCCCCCACACCCCCCCCAGCTCTCCCCACTGCTCACCCCCCCACACCCCCCCCCAGCTCTCCCCACTGCTCACCCCCCCCCACACCCCCCCCAGCTCTCCCCACTGCTCACCCCCCCCCCCACACCCCACCCAGCTCTCCCCACTGCTCACCCCCCCCCCCCACACCCCCCCCAGCTCTCCCCACTGCTCACACCCCCCCCCAGCTCTCCCCACTGCTCACCCCCCCCCCACACCCCCCCCCAGCTCTCCCCACTGCTCACCCCCCCCCCACACCCCCCCCCAGCTCTCCCCACTGCTCACCCCCCCACACCCCCCCCCAGCTCTCCCCACTGCTCACCCCCCCACACCCCCCCCCCACACCCCCCCCAGCTCTCCCCACTGCTCACCCCCCCCCCACACCCCCCCCCCACACCCCCCCCCCCAGCTCTCCCCACTGCTGGAATGGGCCGGGAAGGCGGCGGGGGGCTCTCACCCTCCTTGGCGGCGCTGGCGATCACCACGATGTTGGTGATGTTGGGCGTCATCTTCGCGAAGAACGGAACCCGCACCGTGGCGCGAACCCAGCGGCAGATGTTCCGCACCAGCTCGGGGTCCTGCACACGCGGACAAAGACAAAGAACCCCCCCCCCGCCATGTAGCCTTAACGGACTGTTGGGGCAAGTGCTGTTAAGCGAGCAGCTATGAAGGCTGGCACGGTACATGAGGGGGTGGGTGGCCAGCACCACGCCCGACCGCCTTTGTCTCCTCAGTGGCGATGTCTATGCATCGCACCGGGTACTCATTTTAAGTTGAGTCGACCTGGGGGAGGCCCAGGACCGGTTCAGATAATCGTCACTTGTGTTGGCCGTGAGTGGGAATCGAACTCGGGTCGCCGGGTTCGTAGTGCAGCACGCTGACCACTACACCACCGCTCCCCGTGAACACACGCATGTTGCACACACACACACGCATGTTGCACACACACACACGCATGTTGCACACACACATGTACACACACGTGTACACGCACATTGTGTATTGTTGCATCTCTGTGTTCTTTCACCTGTCCTGTTGTGTACTGGTTTGTTTTGCGTGTTTCGTGTCTGATCATGTCTCTCAGTGTCTCTCCGTGTCTCTCCGTGTCTTGCCGTGTCTCGCCGTGTCTCGCCGTGTCTCTCCGTGTGTCTCCGTGTCTCTCCGTGTCTCTCAGTGTGTCTCCGTGTGTCGCCGTGTCTCCGTGTGTCTCCGTGTCTCTCAGTGTGTCTCCGTGTGTCGCCGTGTCTCCGTGTCTCTCCGTGTCTCTCAGTGTGTCTCCGTGTGTTGCCGTGTCTCCGTGTGTCTCCGTGTCTCGCCGTGTCTCTCCGTGTCTCGCCGTGTCTCTCCGTGTCTCTCCGTGTCTCTCCGTGTCTCTCCGTGTGTCTCCGTGTCTCTTCGTGTCTCTCCGTGTCTCACCGTGTCTCTCTGTGTCTCGCCGTGTCTCTCCGTGTCTCTCCGTGTCTCGCCGTGTGTCTCGCCGTGTGTCTCCGTGTCTCGCCGTGTCTCGCCGTGTCTCGCCGTGTCTCCGTGTCTCTCCGTGTCTCTCAGTGTCTCGCCGTGTGTCTCAGTGTTTCTCCGTGTCTCTCCGTGTCTCTCAGTGTCTCGCCGTGTGTCTCCGTGTCTCGCCGTGTCTCGCCGTGTCTCTCCGTGTCTCGCCGTGTGCCTCCGTGTCTCTCCGTGTGTCTCCGTGTCTCTCCGTGTCTCGCCGTGTCTCTCCATGTCTCGCCGTGTCTCTCCGTGTCTCGCCGCGTCTCTCCGTGTGTCTCCGTGTCTCTCCGTGTCTCTCCGTGTCTCCGCGTGCTCCCTCACCTGTCCGCACGCGAGCCCCATGCCGCGCTCCCCCATGCCGTGCGGGCAGGAGAGATTCAGCTCCAGCGCGTCGGCTCCCGACTCCTGCGCAACCGCGGAGACATCGCCAACATCATGCGCCACCATCACCACCGTCGTCACCGTCATCATCACCGCCATCACCGTCATCACTACCATCACGACTGCTACCATCACTACAACCACAACCATCACCGCCATCATCTCTACCATCACAGCCACAACCATCTCCGCCATCACAAACCATCGTCACCACCATCATGAACACCAATATCACAATCACCATCACAACCACCATGAACGCATCCAGCAGCCGCACCATCACCACCATCACCACCATCACCACCATCACCACCATCACCACCGTTACCATCAACGTCGTCATCACCTTTATCGTGGTCAACATCATAGCCATCAAGCCATCATTACCACCACCACCACCACTGCAATCACCACGATCACCACCACTGCAATCACCACGATCACCACGATCACCACAATCACCTCAGCCATCTTGGCGAGCTGGGTCCAGTCCTCCTTGATATAGCCGCACATGATGCTGGCGATGATGATCTGCACACACACAAAGACAAAGATCCCCCGGATAGCCTTAACAGACTGTTGGGGCAAGTGCTGTTTCGTGAGCAGATCCTTTGAAGGCCGGCACGGCGCACGAGGAGCGTGTGTCTCCGTGTGTCTCCGTGTGTCTCCGTGTGTCTCCGTGTGTCTTCGTGTGTCTCCGTGTGTGTCCGTGTGTCTCCGTGTGTGTCTGTGTGTCTCCGTGTGTCTCCGTGTGTGTCCGTGTGTCTCCGTGTATCTCCGTGTGTGTCCGTGTGTGTCCGTGTGTCTCCGTGTCCCAGACTTGTCCCCTCCGCTCATCATCCTCGCAGCGGCGGCTTTTTGGCTCGGCCATGGAACAAAGGCGGTGGTCACTGCCTCGTCGCGCGGCGCTTTCACATGCGCGCTTCTGCGGCCGTCTGGAACGCTCCTCCTCCCCAGAGGAAGCCACTCGGAGCTATGCGCTCTTAAATCATCATCTAGATTGCTAAAAAAAAAAAATAGAACTGCTTTTTGTGTGCGTTAGTTTATTGTCCTTCCCCCTGTAATCTCCGATTAGCGCGGTTGGCTACATAGGGTGCAAAGAAGTTCAACAGACATACGTACGATGTGTCTCTGTGACCTCGAATGCGCCTCTGTGTTCCCACTACGTTGCTGTTCCCCACTGTGTCTCTGTGTACCCCCCCCCTACCACCCCTGCCCCCGCATGTCCCCCTCCCCAATCTCCCCACTCCCCAATGTACTCACCCCCCAATGCCCCCCCCCTCCCGTGCATATCCCCCCCACGTCCCCCCCCCCAACCCGCACTCCTTGCATGTCCCCCTCCCCCCATATCCCCCCTCCCCACGTCCCCCCCCCCCGCGCCCCCCACCTTGTCCGGGAAGTCCCTCTTGAGCTCGGCGACGCTGCGGCACCAGTAGGCGCTCGTCTTCTCGCTGATGAGCTCGATGTTGAGGAACGAGCCCTGGCCGGGCCCCAGCAGGGGACCCGACGTGGTGCCGCGCACGATGCGCGGGGACACGTTCGTCACCAGGTCCTGCATACCGCACGTTACCATGGGGACACGTTACCATGGGAACACGTTCGTCACCAGGTCCTGCACACCGCACGTTACCATGGGGACACGTTACCATGGGGACACGTTCGTCACCAGGTCCTGCACACCGCACGTTACCATGGGGACACGTTACCATGGGGACACGTTCGTCACCAGGTCCTGCACACCGCACGTTACCATGGGGACACGTTACCATGGGGACACGTTACCATGGGGACACGTTCGTCACCAGGTCCTGCACACCGCACGTTACCATGGGGACACGTTACCATGGGGACACGTTACCATGGGGACACGTTCGTCACCAGGTCCTGCACACCGCACGTTACCATGGGGACACGTTACCATGGGGACACGTTACCACGGGGACACGTTCGTCACCAGGTCCTGCACACTGCACGTTACCATGGGGACACGTTACCATGGGGACACGTTACCACTGGGACACGTTCGTCACCAGGTCCTGCACACCGCACGTTACCATGGGGACACGTTACCACGGGGACACGTTACCACGGGGACACGTTCGTCACCAGGTCCTGCACACCGCACGTTACCATGGGGACACGTTACCATGGGGACACGTTACCACTGGGACACGTTCGTCACCAGGTCCTGCACACCGCACATTACCATGGGGACACGTTACCATGGGGACACGTTACCACTGGGACACGTTCGTCACCAGGTCCTGCACACCGCACGTTACCATGGGGACACGTTACCACGGGGACACGTTACCACGGGGACACGCTCGTCACCAGGTCCTGCACACCGCACGCACGTTACCATGGGGACACGTTACCACGGGGACACGTTACCACGGGGACACGCTCGTGACCAGGTCCTGCACACCGCACGCACGTTACCATGGGGACACGTTACCACGGGGACACGCTCGTCACCAGGTCCTGCACACCGCACGTTACCATGGGGACACACTCACACCGCACACCGCACACTCGCACGGCGTGCCGCACACTCACACCACACACTCACACCGCACACTCGCACGGCGTGCTCGCACCGCACACTCGCACCGCACACTCGCAATGCACACCCCACACCGCACACTCGCACCGCACACTCGCACGGCGTGCTTGCACCGCACACTCGCACCGCACACTCGCAACGCACACCCCACACCGCACACTCGCACCGCACACTCGCACGGCGTGCTTGCACCGCACACTCGCACCGCACACTCGCAACGCACACCCCACACCGCACACTCGCACCGCACACTCGCACGGCGTGCCACACACTCACACTCGCACCGCACACCGCACACTCGCACGGCGTGCCGCACACTCACACCACACACTCACACCGCACACTCGCACGGCGTGCTCGCACCGCACACTCGCACCGCACACTCGCAACGCACACCTCACACCGCACACTCGCACCGCACACTCGCACGGCGTGCTTGCACCGCACACTCGCACCGCACACTCGCAACGCACACCCCACACCGCACACTCGCACCGCACACTCGCACGGCGTGCTTGCACCGCACACTCGCACCGCACACTCGCACCGCACACTCGCAACGCACACCCCACACCGCACACTCGCACCGCACACTCGCACGGCGTGCCACACACTCACACTCGCACCGCACACCGCACACTCGCACGGCGTGCCACACACACTGCACACCGCACACTCGCACGGCGTGCCACACACTCACACCGCACATTCACACCGCACACTCACACCGCACACTCACACCGCACACTCACACCGCACACCCCACACCGCACACTCACACCACACACTCACACCTCACACTCACACCTCACACTCACACCGCACACTCACACCGCACACCCCACACCGCACACTCACACCACACACTCACACCTCACACCGCACACTCACACCGCACACCCCACACCGCACACTCACACCGCACACTCACACCGCACACTCACACAGCACACTCACACCGCACACCCCACACCGCACACTCGCACCGCACACTCACACCGCACACTCGCACAGCGTGCCACATACTCGCACCGCACACTCACACCGCACACTCGCACGGCGTGCCACACACACACTCACACCGCACACTCGCACAGCGTGCCACATACTCGCACCGCACACTCACACCGCACACTCGCACGGCGTGCCACACACACACTCACACCGCACACTCGCACGGCGTGCTCACCTTATCGAGGGAGAAGGTTTTGGTGACGGCGAAGCCCCAGCCGGCGCTGAAGGCGCGGCGGATCATGGCGGAGGTGGTGCACTGCGGTGCGCTCGCCAGCCCGAAGGGGTTGGGGAAGCGCAGGCCGACCATCTCCACGGACAGGTCCACCGCGTCGATCGGTGTGAAGAAGAGGGGCAGCCGCGGCTCGCCGCTCACCGACACGCCGTGCAGGGACTGGGGGGGGGGGGACACGTGAGGGGGGGGGGCACGTGAGGGGGGTGGGGGGAGGGGGGGCACGTGAGGGGGGGGGGAGGGGGGGGGAGGGGGGGGAGGGGGGGCACGTGAGGGGGGGGGAGGGGGGGCACGTGAGAAGGGGTGGGGGGGGCATGTGAGGGGGGTGGGGGGAGGGGGGGCACGTGAGGGGGGTGGGGGGAGGGGGGGCACGTGAGGGGGGTGGCGGGAGGGGGGGGCACGTGAGGGGGGGCGGGAGGGGGGGCACGTGAGGGGGGTGGGGGGGGCACGCGAGGGGGGGGAGGGAGGGCACGTGGGTGGGGGCGGGAGGGGGGGCACGTGAGGGGGGGGAGGGGGGGCACGTGAGGGGGGGGGGGAGGGGGGGCACGTGAGGGGGGTGGGACACGTGCGCAGGATCGGTTCAGATCACCGTTGGCGAGAATCCAGCCCGTGTCGCCGGGTTCGTGGTGCGGCGCGCGATCCACAACGCTGCCGCTCCCCATGCAACAAAGATGCCCCGCATAGCCTGCAACAGACCGTTGGGGCAAGTGCTGTTAGCGAGCACCTGCTGTCTACCTGCAGGTAGGCGTGGATGTGCCAGGCGGCCGTCTTGCCGTCGTTGACCGACTCCACGGTGGTGTTGGCGAGGCCGGCGACGTCGCCGCCGGCGAACGCCCACGGCTCGCTGGTGCCCATCGTCGCCGGGTCCACGCGCGGCACCCCCTGCCGCGTCAGCTCCAGCGGGGACAGCGCACCCAGCACTGCCGGGGGGGGGGGGTCGGGGGGGGGGGGTCGGGTCGGGGGGGGGTCACAACCACAGTTATCGGGGAACACGGGGCTGGCCGGCTGACGCGGCAACGTTTTCAAGAACACCGGGGCGTGGGCGACGCTGCAGGCGCCGGATGACGCGGGGATACGGGGAACACAATTGCAGGCTTGAGCGCGGTGGCAGCGGCGGTGCGTTCAGGAGCGAGATGCCAAAGCGGAGGTCTGCTGGCTACGCTGAGAGGGCTTCAGCAGAGTGTTGCTCCAGCTTCGTCGTTCCAATCCTCGTCTTGTTGAGGGAGCACAGACCGCGGGGTTTGCTTGCCCAGTGTGGTTCATAGTTTTTGGGTTGCGTGGCCACGATCGCGCCACTGTGGCTCGTGTCTTGGACGGGCACGTGGGGAAAGAGACGCGCCCCAAAATACAGGGGGGCGGGGGGGGGGGCACGAGGACAGAGGGACGCGGCGAGACGTGGGAGAAAGCGAGGATAGAGACACACAAATGCGTGCTGGTTGGTGTCGTGCTCTGTCCCCAGTCAATTTGTCCCGTGTCCTCGCGTCTCCGTATCCCATGCGATAGAGACGGTGATGATAACGGTGGTGGCGACACGAATATAAATCCCCGCGTCTCACATGGTACGTGTTGGCGATGGTGGTGATAATGGTGATGGCGACAGTGATGATAACGGTGGTGGTGGCGGTGGTGGTGGCGGTGATGATAACGGTGGTGGCGACGGTGGCGATAACGGTGGTATCGACAGTGATGATAACGGTGGTAGCGACAGTGATGATAACGGTGGTGGTGACGGTGATGATAACGGTGGTGGCGACGGTGGTGATAACGGTGGTGGTGACGGTGATGATAACGGTGGTGGCGACAGTGATGATAACGGTGGTGGCGACAGTGATGATAATGGTGGTGGCGACAGTGATGATAACGGTGGTGGCGACAGTGATGATAACGGTGGTGGCGACAGTGATGATAACGGTGGTGGTGACGGTGATGATAACGGTGGTGGCGACAGTGATGATAACGGTGGTGGCGACAGTGATGATAATGGTGGTGGCGACAGTGATGATAACGGTGGTGGCAACAGTGATGATAACGGTGGTGGCGACGGTGGTGATAACGGTGGTGGCGACGGTGGTGATAATGGTGGTGGCGGCGTGAGTCCGAACAACCGCGTCGCCGCCGCACCTGCGGGGTCGAGCAGCGTGGAGCCGAAGGCGGAGATGACGAAGTCGGCCTTGACGACGACCTTCTGCTCCTCGTCCTCCACCCAGCGGCCGTCCTCCTGCTGCTCCGAGCGTGCAAACTCCACGGCGCAGATGCGGCCGCCGCGCGTCACGACGCGACGCGGCGACGCGAACGGGAGGAACTCGCAGTGCTCCTCGCGGGCCACCTCCACCTGGCGGGGGCGGGGGGGACACACGGGGTCACGGGGTCACGGTGACAAGGGGACGGCGTGTATGTTGGTGAATCCCCAGCGGGGAGATGGTGATGATCGTGGCGGTGTTGATGGTGGTGGTGGTGGTGGTGATAATGCTTTTGATGACGACAACGGTGGCGATCAGTTCGATGACGACGACGATGATGGTGGTGGTGATGATAATGATGACAATGATGTTGATGACGACAACGGTGGCGATCACTATGATAATGACGACGGCGATGATGATGACGATGCTTTTGATGACGACAACGGTGACGATGATGGTGGTGGTGATGATGACGATGATGACAATGATGTTGATGACGACAACGGTGGCGATCACTATGATAATGACGACGGCGATGATGATGACGATGCTGTTGATGACGACGATGGCGGCGGCGATCAGTTCGATGACGACGACGACGACGAGGGCGCACCTCCTCGGGCACGGCGCGCATGTTGGTGAAGCCGCGTCGGAACGCGACGAGCACGCGGCGCGCCCCGCAGCGCAGCGCCGACGTGGCGCAGTCGAAGGCCGTGTCGCCCGCACCCAGCACCACCACCACGCCACGCAGCGCGGGCAGCTGCGGGGACGTGCACCCACACAGGCCTGCACTCGCACACGCACACACGCACACACACGCACACACGCACACACACGCACACACACGCACACACGCGCACACACGCACACACACGCACACACGCACACGTATGTTACACAAAGACAAAGGTCTCCCGCCCCCCGCCACCCGCGTAGCCTTTAACAGACTGCTGGGGGCAAGTGCTGTTAGCGAGTGGCAGCAGCGCCTATGAAGGCCGGCACGGTGGTGCACACAAAGGGGGTGGGGGGAGACAGCACCACGCCCTGTCCGCTTTTGTCTCCCCGATGGCCATGTTGACACTCGTCGCACGAGGTACTCGCTTTAGACCTAGGGGAGGAAGTGGGACACGGCGGACGGGAGACACGGGGGGGGGGCACATCGGTGGTGCGGAACATCGCCCAATAGGGGAGACAAAGGCGGCCGGGAGGGGGGCAGGGTTGTGGGTCGGCGTGTACCGGGCTTGCTGGCCTTGGCGACGCGTGGCAGGAAGGACTTAGAGGTGAAGAAGCCCTGCTCCTCCGTGAGGCCCTCAAAGAGCGGAGCCACCGTGGGCTCCGGCAGCCCTGAGCAGCAACGAGCAGCGACGAGCAGCGACGAGCAGCGACGAGGTGACGGGTGGGGGGAGGGGGAGGGGTGAGACAGAGGGGGGGGGGGTAACAATTTGAGGAAGAGGAATGGAGGAGGCAGTGAGGAGTTGTGATAGTTGTGGTGGCTCGTGGTGGTGGTTGTGGTGGTAGTTCTAGTGGCTCGTGGTTGTGGTGATAGTTGTGGTGATAGTTGTGGTGGTTCGTGATAGTGGTGGTAGTTCGTGATTGCAGTTGTGGAGGTGCGTGATGGTGATTGTGATGGTTGTGGTGGTTGTGGTGGTGGTGGTGCGTGATTGTGGTCGTGGTTGTAGTGGTCGTGGTTGTAGTGGTCGTGGTGGTTGTGGTGGTGCTTGATGGTGGTCGTGGTGGTTGTGGTGGTCGTGGTGGTTGTGGTGGTGCGTGATTGTGGTCGTGGTGGTCGTGGTGGTTGTGGTGGTTGTGGTGGTTGTGGTGGTGCTTGAGGGTGGTCGTGGTGGTTGTGGTGGTGCGTGATTGTGGTTGTGGTGGTTGTGGTTGTACCGATGCCGATGAACACCGCTGCAAATCCGTCCTTGCGCAGAGACTCGAGCGTCAGGTCTCCCACAACCAGAGCACGTCCACACTCCACCTGCAACCACAACCACATTCAACCACAACCACAGTCAACCACAACCACAACCACAGTCAACCACAACCACAGTCAACCACAACAACAACCACAGTCAACCACAACCACAGTCAACCACAACCACACTCAACCACAACCACACTCCACCTGCAACCACAACCACAGTCAACCACAACCACAACCACACTCAACCACAACCACAGTCAACCACAACCACACTCAACCTGCAGCCACAGTCAACACGCAACCACAACCACAGTCAGCGCGGTTGGCCAGGAGAGGTGTTGGCTGCTGTGTTGGCCGGCTCTCCGTGTCGCGTCGTGTTTATAAGTTTACCAGCTTTGCCTTTTCTCATTCATTCTCACCTGATGACGGTTGCTTGTGTTGCTATCGAAACGTCGTATTCTGTTATTATTAGATTTTATTTTCCACGTGACTTTACCATAAAGAACCAAAGAGTGAAGTCGGTTTGAGTTTAACGTGAGTTTACCTTGACGCCCAGGTCCTGCATGAGCCGATTTTATTTGATTTTATTTTCCACGTGACTTTACCATAAAGAACCAAAGAGTGAAGTCGGTTTGAGTTTAACGTGAGTTTACCTTGACGCCCAGGTCCTGCATGAGCCGATTTTATTTGATTTTATTTTCCACGTGACTTTACCATAAAGAACCAAAGAGTGAAGTCGGTTTGAGTTTAACGTGAGTTTACCTTGACGCCCAGGTCCTGCATGAGCCGATTTTATTTGATTTTATTTTCCACGTGACTTACCATAAAGAACCAAAGAGTGAAGTCGGTTTGAGTTTAACGTGAGTTTACCTTGACGCCCAGATCCTGCATGAGCCGCACCTCGAAGCGCACGGCCTCCAGGGGCAGCCGGAACTGCGGGATCTCAGACGCGCTGCGCTCACACGGACACAGGCAAAGGTCCCCCGTGTAGCCGACGCAGGCTGCTGGGGCAAGTGCCGTTAGCGAGCAGCACCAATGAAGGCCGGCACGGCATGCGAGGGGGCGTTGTGGTGGGTCGTGCCAAGCCCGGCCTCCTTGGTCTCCTCAGTACTGATGTTTTTTACGCACCGCGCCAGGTACTGATTTAAGGCTGAGTCGACCGAGGGGAGGCCCGGTACCGGTTCGTAGCGCAGTGCGTTAGCCACTGCACCACCGCTTGCGGAGTGCCGCACTGCTACGGTGCGAGGAGTGAGTAAGAGAGTGCGTGATTAAGTGAGTAAATTAGCGAGCGAGTGAATATGTGAGCGAGTAAGCGAGTTAGTGAGAAAGCGAGTGAGTGAGAGAGTGAATTAGTTAGTATTTGAGCAAGTGAATATGTGAGCGAGTAAGCGAGTTAGTGAGAGAGCGAGTGAGTGAGAGTGTGAGTGCGTATGTGAGCGAGTGAATATGTGAGAGAGTGAGTGAGTGAGTGAGAGAGTGAGTATGTGAGCGAGTGAGGAAGTGAGTGAGCGAGTGAGCGAGCGAGCGAGCGAGTGATCGAATGAGTTTGTGAGTGAGCGAACGAGTGCGTGAGTGAATATGCGAGAGAGTGAGCGAGCGAGTGAGTGAGCGAGCGAGTGAGTGAGCGAGTAACCAAGTGAGCGAGCGAGTGAGCGAGCGAGTGAGTGGGGTCGCACCTCAGCCCCCCGGTGTAGTCGGCGCGCTCGTACACGGTGAGGCGCGAGTAGCCGAGCCGCGCCAGGAACGAGGCGCAGCTGATGCTGGCCGGGCCGCAGCCCAGCAGAGCCACGCGCTCGCCGCACGCGGCCGCCCGCGACCCCACGGGGGGCAGCGCCGGGTCACACACCTGGGGCACCCCCATGAGGCGGAACACCTGGGGGGAGAGGGGGGGGAGGGGGGTGGAGGGGGGGGGGGAGGGGGGTGGAGGGGGGGGTGGAGAAGGGTGGAGGGGGGGTGTGGAGGGGGGGGTGGCGGGGGGTGGAGGGGGGGTGGAGAAGGGTGGAGGGGGGGTGGAGGGGGGGGTGGAGAAGGGTGGAGGGGGGGTGTGGAGGGGGGGTGGAGGGGGGGGTGTGCAGGGGGTGTGCAGGGGGTGTGGAGGGGGGGTGGAGGGGGGTGTGGAGGGGGGGTGGAGGGGGGTGTGGAGGGGGGGTGGAGGGGGGGGTGGAGGGGGGGGTGGAGGGGGGGGTGGAGGGGGGGGGTGGAGGGGTGGAGCGGGGGGGGTGGAAGGGGGGGTGGAGGGGGGGGTGGAGGGGGGGGGCACGGTCGGGAGTCAAACCGGGTTCGTAGAGATCGTGGAACTGCAACTCTGGCTGACGCACACACACACATGTGCTCAGAAAGACAAATATCCCCCGTGTAGCCTCAACAGACTTTCGGGGCAAGTGCTGTTAGCGAGCACCTATGAAGGCCGGCACGGCACACGAGGGGGGCGGGTAGACAGCACCATGGCCGGCCGCCTTTGTCTCCCCAGTAGCAATGTTTACTACGCACCGCACCAGGTACTCATTTGAGGCTGAGTCGACCTAGGGGAGGCCCATGACCGGCTCAGATAATCGTCACCGGTGTTGGTGGCCGTGAGCGGGAATCGAACTCGGGTCGCCGGGTTCGTAGCGCTAACCACTACGCTACCGCTCCCCACACACACACAGAGTCACACACAGAGTCACACACAGAGACACACACATTCACACCAAGACCCCCACCCAGAGTGTATGAACAAACCCGCTGGTATCCCCGTGTCTCCCTACCCCTGCTTGCCCGATGTCCCGTGTAGCCCCGTCTCCCCCTTACCCCCACGTCCCCCATACACCCTCCCCTCATATACCCTTCATATCCCCCCGTCTCCCCCATACCCCCCCCCCGTCCCCGCGCGCGCACCTCGGTAGCGAAGTGCTGGAGCCCCCCGATGTTGATGGGCCCCTCCTCGGCGGCGTAGAGGTTGCAGCCCCCCACGCACAGGTCGGACGTGGGGCACACCATGCCGCACGACAGCCCCAGCGGGTTCTCCGACAGGATGGCGCGTGCCGCACCATAGTAGTTCTAGCGGGGGGCGGGGGGGGCACACGGGGAGAGGCGGGGAGGCACACGGGGACACACGGGGAGACACACGGGGAGACGTGGGGAGACGCACAGGGAGACGTGGGGAGACGCGTGGGGAGACACACAGGGAGACACACGGGGAGACGTAGGGAGACGCGTGGGGGGAGACGCGGGGAAACACACAGGGAGACGTGGGGAGACACACAGGGAGACACACGGGGAGACACACGGGGAGACGTGGGGAGACACACGGGGAGACACACGGGGAGACGTGAGGAGACGCGCGGGGGGAGACGCGGGGAGACACGGGAAATTATAGGGAGACACGGGAAATGATGGGGAGACACTCTGTGAAGGGGTACACTGGGGTGCACTCTGTGAAGAGGCACGCTCTAAGCAAGTAAGAACATTTCTTCTTGCGCACTCTTGTGAGTGCAGTCAATGCCGGTGCGCACCGATCGACACTGGGATGCCCTCTGTGAAGGGGTACATTGGGATGCCCTCTGTGAAGGGGTATATTGGGATGCCCTCTGTGAAGGGGTACATTGGGATGCCCTCTGTGAAGGGGTACATTGGGATGCCCTCTGTGAAGGAGTACATTGGGATGCCCTCTGTGAAGGGGTACATTGGGATGCCCTCTGTGAAGGGGTACATTGGGATGCCCTCTGTGAAGGGGTACATTGGGATGCCCTCTGTGAAGGGGTACATTGGGATGCCCTCTGTGAAGGTCACCCCACGGTCGGGGTAACACTCATTGATAACTTGGGGCGGGGGAGGGGGGCGGGGATAATTTGGGGTACACTCTGTGAAGGGATGTATTGCTCCAGCTCTTTTCCCGGGGCCAAAGTTCAAAGCCACGTGGAGTTGTGGAGCTCTGGACCGGTCATTCCGGGTTGTCCACGTCCCCCCCCCCCCCCACTGCGGCCCCTCGTGACGTCACACCCCCCACCCCCTCCACCCCTCCCTGCCCTCCTCCCCCACCGCCGTCCCCCAAAGTCAAGGCCGCTGTCCCCACGTCACGCCGCAAGGTCAATAATGGCTTAGGGGGCCGTCCATAAATGACGTCACGCACCTAAGGGGGGGGGTAGACGTTTGTGATGCCGTGTGACGAGGGGGCACTGGCGATGAAGGTTAAGGGCGGTGAGGGTGGTGAGGGTGGTGAGGGTGGTGAGGGTGGCGAGGGTGGTGAGGGTGGTGATGAAGGTGAGGGTGGTGAGGGTGGTGATGAAGGTGAGGGTGGTGAGGGTGGCGAGGGTGGTGAGGGTGGTGATGAAGGTGAGGGTGGTGAGAGTGGTGAGGGTGGTGAGGGTGGTGAGGGTGGTGAGGGTGGTGATAAAGGTGAGGGTGGCGAGGGTGGTGAGGGTGGTGAGGGTGGCGAGGGTGGCGAGGGTGGTGAGGGTGGTGATGAAGGTGAGGGTGGTGAGGGTGGCGAGGGTGGCGAGGGTGGTGAGGGTGGTGATGAAGGTGAGGGTGGTGAGAGTGGTGAGGGTGGTGATGAAGATGAGGGTGGTGAGGGTGGTGAGGGTGGTGAGGGTGGTGAGGGTGGTGATGAAGGTGAGGGTGGTGAGAGTGGTGAGGGTGGTGATGAAGGTGAGGGTGGTGAGAGTGGTGAGGGTGGTGAGGGTGGTGAGGGTGGTGATTCGGTGAGGGTGGTGAGGGTGGTGAGGGTGGTGAGGGTGGTGATGAAGGTGAGGGTGGTGAGGGTGGTGAGGGTGGTGAGGGTGGTGATGAAGGTGAGGGTGGTGAGGGTGGCGAGGGTGGTGAGGGTGGTGATGAAGGTGAGGGTGGTGAGGGTGGTGAGGGTGGTGAGGGTGGTGAGGGTGGTGATGAAGGTGAGGGTGGTGAGAGTGGTGAGGGTGGTGAGGGTGGTGATGAAGGTGAGGGTGGTGAGGGTGGTGAGGGTGGTGAGGGTGGTGATGAAGGTGAGGGTGGTGAGGGTGGTGAGGGTGGTGAGGGTGGTGATGAAGGTGAGGGTGGTGAGGGTGGTGAGGGTGGTGAGGGTGGTGATGAAGGTGAGGGTGGTGAGGGTGGCGAGGGTGGTGAGGGTGGTGATGAAGGTGAGGGTGGTGAGAGTGGTGAGGGTGGTGAGGGTGGTGATGAAGGTGAGGGTGGTGAGGGTGGTGAGGGTGGTGAGGGTGGTGAGGGGGAGGGTGGTGAGGGTGGTGAGGGTGGTGAGGGTGGTGATGAAGGTGAGGGTGGTGAGAGTGGTGAGGGTGGTGAGGGTGGTGAGGGTGGTGAGGGTGGCGAGGGTGGCGAGGGTGGTGAGGGTGGTGAGGGAGGTGAGGGTGGTGAGAGTGGTGAGGGTGGTGAGGGTGGTGAGGGTGGTGAGAGTGGTGAGGGTGGTGAGGGTGGTGAGGGTGGTGAGGGTGGTGAGGGTGGTGAGGGAGGTGAGGGTGGTGAGGGTGGTGAGGGTGGTGAGGGTGGTGATGAAGGTGAGGGTGGTGAGGGTGGCGAGGGTGGTGAGGGTGGTGATGAAGGTGAGGGTGGTGAGAGTGGTGAGGGTGGTGAGGGTGGTGAGGGTGGTGATGAAGGTGAGGGTGGTGAGGGTGGCGAGGGTGGTGAGGGTGGTGATGAAGGTGAGGGTGGTGAGAGTGGTGAGGGTGGTGAGGGTGGTGAGGGTGGTGAGGGTGGCGAGGGTGGTGAGGGTGGTGATGAAGGTGAGGGTGGTGAGGGTGGTGAGGGTGGTGAGGGTGGTGAGGGTGGGTGAGGGTGGTGAGGGTGGTGATGAAGGTGAGGGTGGTGAGAGTGGTGAGGGTGGTGAGGGTGGTGATGAAGGTGAGGGTGGTGAGGGTGGTGAGGGTGGTGAGGGTGGTGAGGGTGGTGAGGGTGGTGATGAAGGTGAGGGTGGTGAGGGTGGCGAGGGTGGTGAGGGTGGGTGATGAAGGTGAAGGTGGTGAGAGTGGTGAGGGTGGTGAGGGTGGTGAGGGTGGTGAGGGTGGCGAGGGTGGTGAGGGTGGTGATGAAGGTGAGGGTGGTGAGGGTGGTGAGGGTGGTGAGGGTGGTGAGGGTGGTGATGAAGGTGAGGGTGGTGAGAGTGGTGAGGGTGGTGAGGGTGGTGAGGGTGGTGAGGGTGGCGAGGGTGGTGAGGGTGGTGAGGGTGGTGAGGGTGGTGAGGGTGGTGAGGGTGGTGAGGGTGGTGAGAGTGGTGAGGGTGGTGAGGGTGGTGAGGGTGGTGAGGGTGGTGAGGGTGGTGATGAAGGTGAGGGTGGTGAGAGTGGTGAGGGTGGTGAGGGTGGTGAGGGTGGTGAGGGTGGTGAGAGTGGTGAGGATGGTGAGGGTGGTGAGAGTGGTGAGGTTCATGAGGGTGGTGATGAAGGTGAGGGTGGTGAGGGTGGTGAGGGTGGTGAGGGTGGTGAGGGTGGTGATGAAGGTGAGGGTGGTGAGGGTGGTGAGGGTGGTGAGGGTGGTGATGAAGGTGAGGGTGGTGAGGGTGGTGAGGGTGGCGAGGGTGGTGAGGTGGTGAGGGTGGTGAGGGTGGTGAGGGTGGTGATGAAGGTGAGGGTGGTGAGGGTGGTGAGGGTGGTGAGGGTGGTGAGAGTGGTGAGGGTGGTGAGGGTGGTGAGGGTGGTGAGGGTGGTGAGGGAGGTGAGGGTGGTGAGGGTGGTGAGGGTGGCGAGGGTGGTGAGGGTGGTGAGGGTGGTGATGAAGGTGAGGGTGGTGAGGGTGGTGAGGGTGGTGAGGGTGGTGAGGGTGGTGATGAAGGTGAGGGTGGTGAGGGTGGTGAGGGTGGTGAGGGTGGTGATGAAGGTGAGGGTGGTGAGAGTGGTGAGGGTGGTGAGGGTGGTGAGGGTGGCGAGGGTGGTGAGGGTGGTGATGGAGGTGAGGGTGGTGAGGGTGGTGAGGGTGGTGAGAGTGGTGAGGGTGGTGAGGGTGGTGAGGGTGGTGAGGGTGGTGAGGGTGGTGATGAAGGTGAGGGTGGTGAGAGTGGTGAGGTTCGTGAGGGTGGTGAGGGTGGTGAGGGTGGTGAGAGTGGTGAGGATGGTGAGGGTGGTGAGAGTGGTGAGGTTCATGAGGGTGGTGATGAAGGTGAGGGTGGTGAGGGTGGTGAGGGTGGTGAGGGTGAGGGTGGTGATGAAGGTGAGGGTGGTGAGGGTGGTGAGGGTGGCGAGGGGTGGTGAGGGTGGTGAGGGTGGTGAGGGTGGTGATGAAGGTGAGGGTGGTGAGGGTGGTGAGGGTGGTGAGGGTGGTGAGAGTGGTGAGGGTGGTGAGGGTGGTGAGGGTGGTGATGAAGGTGAGGGTGGTGAGGGTGGTGAGGGTGGTGAGGGTGGTGAGGGTGGTGATGAAGGTGAGGGTGGTGAGAGTGGTGAGGGTGGCGAGGGTGGTGAGGGTGGTGAGGGTGGTGAGGGTGGTGAGGGTGGTGAGGAAGGTGAGGGTGGTGAGGGTGGTGAGGGTGGTGAGGGTGGTGAGGGTGGTGATGAAGGTGAGAGTGGCGAGGGTGGTGAGGGTGGTGATGAAGGTGAGGGTGGTGAGAGTGGTGAGGGTGGTGAGGGTGGTGAGGGTGGTGAGGGTGGTGAGGGTGGTGAGGAAGGTGAGGGTGGTGAGAGTGGTGAGGGTGGTGAGGGTGGTGAGGGTGGTGAGGGTGGTGAGGGTGGTGAGGGTGGTGAGAGTGGTGAGGGTGGTGAGGGTGGTGAGGGTGGTGAGGGTGGTGAGAGTGGTGAGGGTGGTGAGGGTGGTGAGGGTGGTGAGGGTGGTGAGGGTGGTGATGAAGGTGAGGGTGGTGAGGGTGGTGAGGGTGGTGAGGGTGGTGATGAAGGTGAGGGTGGTGAGAGTGGTGAGGGTGGTGAGGGTGGTGAGGGTGGTGAGGGTGGTGAGGATGGTGAGGGTGGTGAGAGTGGTGAGGTTCATGAGGGTGGTGAGGGTGGTGAGGGTGGTGAGAGTGGTGAGGATGGTGAGGGTGGTGAGAGTGGTGAGGTTCGTGAGGGTGGTGAGGGTGGTGAGGGTGGTGAGAGTGGTGAGGATGGTGAGGGTGGTGAGAGTGGTGAGGTTCATGAGGGTGGTGATGAAGGTGAGGGTGGTGAGGGTGGTGAGGGTGGTGAGGGTGGTGAGGGTGGTGAGGGTGGTGAGCGTGGTGAGGGTGAGACTCACCTTGTTGGCGATGCTGGTGATGAAGGTGAGGGTGGTGAGGGTGGTGAGGGTGGTGAGGGTGGTGAGGATGGTGAGGGCGGTGAGGGCGGTGAGGATGAAACTCACCTTGTTGGCGATGCTGGTGATGAAGGCCTTCACGTCGATCTGGGTGGGGCAACTCTTCTGGCACGGCGCGTCCACACACTTGAGGCACCTGGGCACGGGCGGCACGGGCAGCCCCCCCCCCCCCTCGGAGTCAGGGGTCCTCACCGCGACGACCCTCACCCTCGTGACCCCCCCCCCCTCTCATAGCCTCGCCGTGACCTCGACGCTCTACGATATCGTAACATTCCATGGTGTGTGTGTGCTTGTGTGCGTGTGTGCGTGTGTGCGTGCGTGCGTACGTGCGCAAATGTGCACTGCGCTGCGAACCCGGCGGGCTGGCTTCAACTCCCGCCCAGCGGTGACCGGTGATAATCTAAACTGGTCCTGCCCTCCCCCCTAGGTTGACTCAGCCTTAAATGAGCGGCTGCTGCTGGTGGGGTGAACATCGGCGCAAGGGAGACAAAGGCGGCCGAGCGTGGCCATGCCGCCCCGTTATTAGCTGCGCTGTCCCGGCCTTCGCAGGCGCTCGCCGACGGCACTTGTCCCAGCAGCCTGTGCAGGCTACACGGGGGAGCTTTGTCTGCGGTGTGTGCTGACGGTACCTGGATGCCTCGCGCACAGCACCCCTCTCTCCCAGCGTCGTGTGCTTGATGTCCTCGAAGTTCTTCTCCAGGGACTGGCACGTCTGCACCGTAACGGGACAACACACAGCACCGTATTGTGAGACTCGGCTCTAAGAGAAGCTGTCTCTGGTGTGGACCAATCAAGTTCAAGGACAATGCATACTTTTCGATTTAAAGCTTTCGTGACTGCAGGGATTCATCTTCTTGGTTCTTTCGGTAAAGTCACGTAGAATGGAAATAATAAAATAATAAAAATTAAACATTATAAAATTATTCTCACGACGTTTCGGCCACAATGCAAGCAGCCGTCCTCAGGTGAAGACCAGATCTGTCTGTTTATTATTTTATTATTTCCATTCTACGTGACTTTACCGAAAGAACCAAGAAAATGCATACTTTATTATCAGAGTGTGTGTTTTTTGTTTGCATTCTGACCCGTAGGTATTGTGGTTAATGCAAACATGATTCCTTGTAAAAAGGTGTCAGTTTTGTTGCCAAAAAAAGGGGTAAAACCTCTATTATTACATTACTCTCCTGATTTGAAGCTTTCGTGACTGCAGGAACCCATGCCCTTCGGTTCTTTCGGTAAAGTCACGTGGGTAGAAAACTAAAATAAAACGAGAAATAACAAAGCACGACGTTTCGATCGCAACACAAGTGGTCGACCTCGGCGCTGGTTGGGCAGCTCCACTGCTGGATGAATACTTGTTCCGCCTGAGGACGACCGCTTGTGTTGCGATCGAAACGTCGTGCTTTGTTATTTCTCGTTTTATTTTAGTTTTCTACCCACGTGACTTCACCGAAAGAACAGAAGAGTAACCATTGCTATTTTTTTTTCGATTTAAAGCTTTCGTGACTGCAGGGATTCATCTTCTTGGTTCTTTCTGTAAAGTCATCACGTAGAAGGGAAGTAATAAAATAATAAAAATAAAACATAATAAAATAATTCTCACAACGTTTCGGCCACAACGCAAGCAGCCGTCCTCAGGATTGGGGGGTGGGGGTGTAAAAAGGTGAGGACGGCTGCTTGCGTTGTGGCCGAAACGTCGTGAGAATTATTTTATTACTTTATTATTTTTATTATTTTATTACTTCCCTTCTACGTGACCTTACCGAAAGAACCAAGAAGACATTACTATTTTATGTATTGGACCAGGTAAGGCCCTGCTCAGGTATGGGGCCATCCATTTAGTACGTACGCATGGAGGGGGGTGAGGGGTGAGGTTCACCTAAATGCGTACTGACATTGTACGCATAGGAAACGGGGGGGGGGGGGGGGCTGAAGCCTCGATAATAAGTTGTCTACATTAGCCTTCAAATGAGTTCGATAGTCCGGCGGTGGATTATCTATTTGCTTAAACACGTTAATATGATTAATCATTGATCGTTTCTTCACGGATTAGATATCGGCCGTTCTATAGGATTGGGGGGTGGCGGGTGTTAAAAGTACGCGTGTGTACAGGGAGGGGGGGAGGGGTCAAGTTTTGACAGATTTTTGCGTACCTACTCAATGGACGGCCCCTATATAGGAGCTCTTTTTCAGAAGCAACATGGCCACCAATGATAGCTCAACGAAGTGGCGGCTTCTCATCACGTGGACATTTAGAGCATCCAAAAATCCTAACCGCGTGACGTTGATTCTAAACGTGGAGGGGAAAACCAGAGGACATAGCCAACCACACTAATGTGAGTTGCGGGGTGAGGAGCGGTGAGGAGCAGTGAGGAGTGGTGAGAAGAAGTGGTGAGGAGTGGTGAGGAGTGGTGAGGGGGAGTGGTGAGAGTGGTGAGGAGGAGTGGTGAGGAGTGGTGAGGGGGAGTGGTGAGGAGTGGTGAGGGGGAGTGGTGAGGAGTGGTGAGGAGTGGTGAGGAGGAGTGGTGAGGAGTGGTGAGGGGGAGTGGTGAGGAGTGGTGAGGAGTGGTGAGGAGTGGTGGTGAGGAGTGGTGAGGAGTGGTGAGGAGTGGTGAGGAGGAGTGGTGAGGAGTGGTGAGGGGGAGTGGTGAGGAGTGGTGAGGAGTGGTGAGGAGTGGTGAGGAGTGGTGAGGAGGCACTCACGTCGCACCCTCCCTTGGCCGAGTTCCTCTTCCAGTGCCTCTTGGCGCTCTGCGCTGCCGCGGTGGAGCGCAGCTTGGCGGAGGTGGCGACCCGCGGGTTCAGGTGCAGCAGAGCCTGCGCCACGCGGGGGAGGGGTCACGGGGTCACGGGGTCACGGGGTCACGCGGCCGCACCGTCACCTCTCACGTGCAGCAGAGCCTGCGCCAGGCGGGGGGGGGTCACGGGGTCACGGGGTCACGCGGCCGCACCGTCACCTCTCACGTGCAGCAGAGCCTGCGCCAGGCGGGGGGGGGTCACGGGGTCACGGGGTCACGCGGCCGCACCGTCACCTCTCACGCGCAGCAGAGCCTGCGCGAGGTGGGGGGAGGGGGATCACGGGGTCACGGGGTCACGCGGCCGCACCGTCACCGCTCTCGCGCTCGCCAACTGAACGTTATTGGCGCTTAGACCGATGGTCCACGATATATAATTTTTTTTTTTATACCAATTTTCACAAAAATTATTTACTTTTCCCACGATTCGCAACCGCCTGTCAGAATATCTTGCAGGGTGGGGTGGGTGAGCGGGTGGAGGTGGTGGTTGTGGTGGTGGTTGTGGTGGTGGTGGTGGTCCGAGCCAAAAATCGGTTCTCGGGATGTTGAAGCGGTAGGAAGACGGAACGTTTGTGTCTGTGAGCCGGCCGGCTGAACACGAAGCTTCACGGTCCGTTTTGCCGCATTAGCAGCAGCAATGCAGCCCTGGCGACGATTTGGTTGGCTCCGTTGCTCCAAAGGCGACAAGATTTGTACTCCCCCGTGGCCCGAGGCATCAGTCGGACGGGTTCCTCCTCGATTCATTTTTAAATCCTTTATATTAAGTTCACTTGCTTGCTTGCTTGCGTGCTTGCTTGCTTGCTTACGACGGTGCAAATCTTTCGGTCGTTTTTTAACCCACTTCCCGTGATCCAATCGAGCTGACATTTTGCACAGACTCGTTGTGCGTGACAATTAATTTTCGTGAAAAATTCCAAAATTTTACACTGTTTAGGGAAAATGTTTTAAATATTTAATTACCAATTGCTTAATGGTGGCAGACAATCATCTGACCCATAGGTGGCAGCCATCTCAAGCCAGAGGACGAGAGGACTCTAGCCGCCACGCATATAAAGGTATATATTGAAAAACTTTGTTTTTACGGGTTAATTTTTTACGGAATCGTTTCTTGGCGGACGGTGACCATCAAAAGACCACGACTCGTGGTGTCACCACCACACGTTCGCATGGGGGGAAAGCAGCAGCTGCCGAATTTAAGTGGCAACTTCTTTGTGACGATGGGTCTCTGCATCGGGCATCAGTGACATCTTCAGACTGTTTTATGAGGCCTGGTGATGTTATGCTGCACCGGTGTGGCGCCGCCAATATGTCCACTTAGGAGCCGTCCATAAATGACGTCACGCGATTTTGGACGATTTTGGACGATTTTTGACCCCCCCCCTTTCGTCACACGGCGTCACAAAAAGTCAAACCCCCCCCCTCAAATATGACGTCACAAAGCTCTACCCCCCCCCCCCCCCAAATAATAAAACATGCTTCAAATCGCTTTAAACTATTGTCATTGTAGTGCATATTTAATGTGGCGCTGCATTCTGATGTTGTAGGAGAAAACATTTATTAAAACGTCTATTTAATTAAGTAGAACGTTTTGTCTATATTTATTTAAAGTTGCGCATTTTGATGTGACGTCACATTTCTCAACCCCCCCCCCCCCCCTCGTCACACATCGTCACAAATGTCTGACCCCCCCCCCCCCCAGGTGCGTGACGTCATTTATGGACGGCCCCTCACACATCAATATCGACGGCCGACATTCGCCCACGAAGTGGTGATGGTTGCGTCACCACGGCGCCTGTGCCAGGCCAGGTGCACCTTGAGGCCGTCACGTGAACTGTCGAAGGGATCGCTGCTGACAGGAGGACACGGGGCAGACCCAGCAGGCGCCATGGGGGTTGACGCACTGAGAGAGACTGGCAGACGCACCACTGGTGCCCCCTATCGTACCCACTCGCTATCTTTTATCCGCCCGGCACACCCACTCGTTGTTGTGAGCGTCGCTCCTCTCCGCCCTCCGTTGTTGTTGTTGGGAGGGCGACTGCCTCCGACTGACCGGTAGCAGCGTCCTTCACAACCCTCCTCCTCCTCACACCTGTGTCTCACCTGTGTCCCACCTGTGTCCCACCTGCGTCCCACCTGCGTCCCACCTGCGTCTCACCTGTGTCCCACCTGTGTCCCACCTGTGTCTCACCTGTGTCCCACCTGTGTCTCACCTGTGTCCCACCTGTGTGCCGATGAGCAGTCCCCCTCGCAGCCAGCTGGCGAACCCCAGGCGCACGGCAACTCTTACATAACGAGCGCCCAGCCATGAACTCTGTGCAGCTGGGACAGCAGAATACCACCCAGCAGCTTTCTGCCTCCCTCCAGGCAAAGTCCAGGGAGCCCCCACAGACCCCCCCCCCCCCGACTACCAGCAAACAACAAGACAAAGATCCCCCACGTAGCCTCGACAGATTCCTGGGGACACGTGTTGTTCGCGAGCGAGAGCGCCCAGGAAGGCCGGCACGGACACACGAGGGGGGGGGGGGGTTGGTGCCCAGCACCCAGCGCCTGGCCGCCTTTGTCTCCCCCAGTGGCAACGTTTAACACCGCGCCAGTTTCAGACAATTGTCACTGATGTCGGTGGCCATGAACGGGAATGGAAGTCTGTGTCACAGAGCGCTTCGCGTGAGCGCAGCGCCAACCGCGACGCTGCCGCTCCCCACTGTTTCACTCGCTCGCTCGTTCGCATCTAATGTATCGTTATAGAGCGCCTTCGCTCAGAGTTTAACAAACCATTTAGCACACACGAGCACAGACGGCGGGTCACAGGGGAGCCAGAATTAACCGTAGCCCGTGACAGAAAATAATAAGAATGTATTAGAATTGTAAGTTGTATATGACCGTCGGATATAGCGTTACATCGCCCAGGAGTTAGACCGACTCTCTCTCTCTGATGAGGAGTTCAGAGTTCCATATGTTACACTTGGACCTCCGATTGGCACGGTGGCGGCTACGTATGGTGCGAAAGAAGTTCAACATACGGCAGCGTACATACTGGACAACGCATACTTCACTCAGCACACAAACACCCTGGCCAACAGCCCGAACGGACTGTCGGGGCGAGTGCTGAGCGGCACCTACGAAGGCCGGCACGTGGCACACGAGGTGGGTGGGTGGCCTGCACCACGCCCCGGCCGCTTTGTCTCCCCAGCGGCGATGTTTTTTTTTTTACACATTTGAGGCCGAGTCCACCTAGGGCATGCTCAGGACCGCTTCAGAGAAGCGTCACTTCTGGTGTTGGTGGCCGCCAGGTTCGTGAGCGCTTGAACCGTTACACCACCGCTCCCCACCACACCACCTCGAAAAGTCCACGCAGGAACACACCACAAGACAAAGATCCCCCACGTAGCCTCTAACAGACTGTCGGGGCAAGTGCTGTTAGCGAGCAGCACCTATGAAGGTCCGGCACGGCGCACGAGGGGGTGGGTGGCCAGCACCACGCCCGGCCGCCTTTGTCTCCCTCGTGGCGATGTTCACTACACACCTCACCAGGTACTCATTTTGAGTCCGAGTCGACCTAGGGGAGGCTCAGGACCTGTTGATATAATTGTCACCGATGTTGGCCGTGAACCTGGGTGGTCCGATTCGTAGCGCATCGCACCAGGAGCTTATCTGAGGCCGAGTCGACCTAGGGGAGGCTCAGGAACCGGTTCAGATACTCGTCACCGATGTTGGCCGTGAGCGTGAATCGAACTCGGGGGTTCGCTGTGTCCGTAGCGCGGCGTAGCGCTCACCGCGTGACACCACCGCTCCACGTGTACCCCCACGCGCACGCTGTGCATTGTTGTTGCGTCTCTGCGTTTTCTCGCCTGTCCTGTCGTGCGCCGGTTTGTGTCTCGTGCATCGTTTCTAATCGCGCATCGACTCTGTCTCGTGGTGTCTCGTCGTGTCCCCGGGCTCTTCGCCGGGTTCGTAGCGCAGCGCGCGAACCGCGACACGACCGCTAACACCCACGACACACCCCACCACAACACACCACGACACACTACCACTAACACACCCCACCACACTACCACTAACACACCACGACACACCCCACCACACTACCACTAACACCCACACCACACCCCACTACAAAGATAAAGATCCCCCGTATAGCCTGAACAGACTGTAGGGGCAAGTGCTGTTAGCGAGCACCTACACCCCACTACACTACCACTAACACACCACCACACTACCACTAACACACCACACCCCACCACACTACCACTAACACACCACGACACACCCCACGACACTACCACTAACACACCACACCCACTACCCTACCACTAACACACCACGACACACCCCACGACACACCCCACGAACACTCAACACGTTGGCCCCACCTCATAGCAGGGGGAGCAAGCACCACGTACCTCAATGTCGGGCACATCCTCACTCAAGAGTTTCGACATATCGAGCCGGCTGTCTCTCCCTCTCTCGAGGTCTCACGGCGTCTCTGGCACGCGGCAGCGAGGTTCAACGGTAGGGACCCCCCCTCCCCACACTTGTGCTTAAGGTCATCGTACATACCGCCTCTCCCCCACCACCACCCCCACCACCACCCCCACCACCACCTCCACCACACCACCACCCCCACCACCACCACACCCCCACCACCACCACACCACCACCACGGCCGAACAAAAGCTGTTTAGGCATGCGGTGGCTGGGCATGCGGGCTACATGACCCAGCCAACGCAGCCTTGCCTGCCGGAGGAGCTCACCGATGTGACTTTGTCCACATCTTTCAAGGATTTGTGAGCTCCTCACACAATCCAGCCTGGTTAAACCCAGGATGGATCGTAGGCAGGTCAGCCTAAATGTTTCTAACTGGCGAAGATGTTCCATTAGGGGGGTCCACGTTTTGCAAGCGTAGAGAAGGGAGGGAATGACCGTGGCCGAGAAGACCTGAAGCTTCGTGCGGAGCGACAGACCAGGTAGCTTCCACACAGCGTTATGCAACCGATTAAAATATATTGCCGCTCGACTGATTCGGAGTGAGACCTCTGCTGTTAAACCGAAGCTGGTCATGAGCACACTGCCCAGGTATGGGGAACTCTCCACTCTCTCCACTACTGCCCCATCACCTATTGGGAGTTGTGATGGTGGAGTGTCCGATGGTACACAATACTCAGGCAGGTGCTTAGTTTTGGTGGGGCTGATGGTAAGGCCCCACCTCTTGATGGCAAGCTCCAGGTTCAGCAGCAGCGCCTCCAACTCCTCCTCTGAGTGAGCAGCAATTACCAGATCATCGGCATACATAACATGGTTGAACAATAGGGAGCCATCCCTTGACCGCACCCGGTCATCGATCAGCCTCTCATTGTATCTGTACCATATGGAAATTCCTCCGGTACAGCTATTGAAGGCTGCACGAACTACGTGGTCAAAATAGATGTTAAGTAATGTGGGAGCCAGAGGACATCCCTGTCGCACCCCAAGGTGTACAGGGAATGGCTCTGACTCCCGGCCACGTAGTTTTACCCGGGCCCGCTCACCATCATGAAGGTCCTTAATGATCGTGAGCAGAGGGTCAGGGACTCCGAAAGCACGAAGAACAACCCAGAGCCCAGGCCTACTGATGGTATCATAGGCCTTGACCAGGTCAATAAAGCAGAGATGTAGGTCTTGTTGGAATTCCCTACACCTCTGCTGTAGCAGACGGACAGAAAATATGGCATCTGTGCAGGACCGTCCTTCCCTGAAACCGCATTGGGGCTCCGCAAGCCTCTCCTCAGCGTGCCTGGCAAGGCGATGTTCAATAATCCTTGCCAGGATCTTTCCCGGCACACTGAGGAGTGAGATGCCCCTGTGGTTGTTACAGTCTGTGCGGTCCCCCTTCTTAAAGAGGGGGACCACCAGGGCATCCTTCCAATCCTGCGGAATCCGTTCAGTGGTCCATACTGTTGTTATGATGTCATGTAGGACGGTCTGTGCACACCACTGATCACGGTTTCATTGCTTTTATGGCTTTATTTAGGTGATTTTCTAAAGTTTTTTGGTTTGGCCATGTTTGTTTGTTGCAGTACGGAGTTAGACTGATGGCCTTAATCTAAGTTGTCTTGCTGTTGTTGTTTGACTTGCATCCCACTTGGGATTTTTGCACACAGCGTTGGTGTACGGTGCTTTTTCTGCAATATTTGTATGTTTTTTTCCCCTGGGTTTTCAGTTTGCACTTAGTCACTTTAAGATGTTTTCTTGTTCATGTTTTTTGTTTGTTGCGGTTGCACCCGATTCAAGAGCCCAATGGCTCACAGGGCTATACCTAATACATGAACTTGAACCACCACACCACCACCCGCACACCACCACACACCACAACCACCCCCTGGTATCAATTAAGTCATGGGTGCGTACCCCCTCCCACTCAGCGCACGCGGTCTCGCTGGCAAGCGACACCACCGCAGCACGGACGATTCGCACGAGAAATGGTTGTGGTGGTCGTGGTTGTTGTGGTGGTTGTTGTGGTGGTTGTGGTGGTTGTGGTGTTAAATTGTCTCGATCGCGTAACAACACACGCGCAGCCTCTCTCGTAGCGATTAAAAGCTTACGCCCGATTCGCATTGTGCGTACTTTATATAAATGCATGTCGTGTGTTTGGATGTGCAGGGCGCATATTGAAATCTTAGCTGAAGTATTTTCCCGTACCCCCCCCCCCGGCTCCCTGATACTGGTGGAGTTGTTGTCACCCCTCGATAGACGCCCCTTAGACGCCCCCGCTATGCATCCAATCACAATGCCTCCACCCACGTGTCCCACGGCCCCGCCTACTCCCCACATAGCCCCGCCCACTCACAAGATAGCTCCTCCCACTTCGATATGACCCCGCCCCGGTCGACATTTGGCTCCGCCCACATTTCCTCCTGACCACGCCCAGCTCCACCGTGACCACGCCCAGCTCCACCGTGACCACCCCAGCTCCACCGTGACCACGCCCAGCTCCACCGTGACCACGCCCAGCTCCACCGTGACCACGCCCAGCTCCACCGTGACCACCCCAGCTCCACCGTGACCACCCCAGCTCCACCGTGACCACACCCAGCTCCACCGTGACCACCCCAGCTCCACCGTGACCACCCCAGCTCCACCGTGACCACCCCAGCTCCACCGTGACCACGCCCAGCTCCACCGTGACCACGCCCAGCTCCACCGTGACCACCCCAGCTCCACCGTGACCACGCCCAGCTCCACCGTGACCACGCCCAGCTCCACCGTGACCACGCCCAGCTCCACCGTGACCAGCCCTCCACGTGACCACGCCCAGCTCCACCGTGACCACGGCCCAGCTCCACCGTGACCACGCCCAGCTCCACCGTGACCACGCCAGCTCCACCGTGACCACGCCCACTCACGTGACCACGCCCACTCCACCGTGACCACGCCCAGCTCCACCGTGACCACGCCCAGCTCCACCGTGACCACGCCCAGCTCCACCGTGACCACGCCAGCTCCACCGTGACCACGCCCAGCTCCACCGTGACCACGCCCAGCTCCACCGTGGACCACGCCGGACCGCCAGCTCCACCGTGACCACGCCCAGCTCCACCGTGACCACGCCCAGCTCCACCGTGACCACGCCCAGCTCCACCGTGACCACGCCCAGCTACCACCGTGGACCACGCCCAGCTCCACCGTGACCCGCCCAGCTCCACCGTGACCACGCCCAGCTCCACCGTGACCACGCCCAGCTCCACCGTGACCACGCCCAGCTCCACCGTGACCACGCCCAGCTCCACCGTGACCACGCCCAGCTCCACCGTGACCACGCCCAGCTCCACCGTGACCACGCCCAGCTCCACCGTGACCACGCCCAGCTCCACCGTGACCACGCCCAGCTCCACCGTGACCACGCCCAGCTCCACCGTGACCACGCCCAGCTCCACCGTGACCACGCCCAGCTCCACCGTGACCACGCCCAGCTCCACCGTGACCACGCCCAGCTCCACCGTGACCACGCCCAGCTCCACCGTGACCACGCCCAGCTCCACCGTGACCACGCCCAGCTCCACCGTGACCACGCCCAGCTCCACCGTGACCACGCCCAGCTCCACCGTGACCACGCCCAGCTCCACCGTGACCACGCCCAGCTCCACCGTGACCACGCCCAGCTCCACCGTGACCACGCCCAGCTCCACCGTGACCACGCCCAGCTCCACCGTGACCACACCCAGCTCCACTATGGCCCCGCCCTCCAACGGCTCAACCCCCACAGACACTAAAATGCTTCCAATGCTGTGGCCTAAATCGGGAAAATAATAAAAAATATAATAAACATGTCAATATATAACGTGCGACGTTTCGTGAAATGGCCCTTTTTTGGCGCTATTGCCCCACAACCCAGTCCCCACGACGTTGTTGTCCATTGCCCCGAAACGTCGCCTGTGGTATCGACCATGAATGTAAAGACCGCGGTGTTATATTGGACGAAGGGGGGTTTAGAGTCGATCATTTTTGTTGTTATTTGTGCATCACCGCCAACAGCAGCAGCAGCCATCTCCGTCCGGGTCCTCCGGGTTTTCCCTCCATATTTTGTAAAAGACAAGCCATGCGTTTAGACGACTTAGATTCGCTTTGCTGCTATAAATGTACAAATGATACGCCACTTCGATGAGCTGGTAGGAACGTTGGGTTGCTCGGTCAATGGCCAGGGTCAACGGCGGCGTGGTGTATTCCGCAAATATGTCCGACTGTGAGGGCGGGCACAAGCCGGCGTGAGTAGGTTAAACGTTGAGTTTTATAAGGGCACCACGGGGTGACCAGGTCCTCCCCACACAGCCCCACCCCTCCCACCCCCCACCCAGCCCAGCCCTTCCCCACCCAGCCTTTCCCCACCCTCCCCCTCCCCACCCAGCCTCTCCCCACCCAGCCCCTCCCCACCCTCCCCACCCTCCCCACCCAGCCCCTCCCCACCCTCCCCACCCAGCCCCTCCCCACCCTCCCCACCCAGCTCCTCCCTGCACGACGGACACAATAATCCCCTGTGGGCTGGTGTAACCTGGCGGTTCCTACCAGTATAAGTCAATGCCCTCGGTGGGCTTTGCCTGGTAGGATGTTGATGGTTTAGTTTCATATTTGTGTGTTTGGGCGACTTGTTAACCTGTTGTGCTGTTTGTTGTTGTCACGTTCTTAGCCCGTGCCCCGGCTGGGCATCTGTGAAAAATATCTTTCTAGCTCATCGGATTCCTCCTGCAGTACAAATAGATTATGATTCTGAACCCAATCGCTGTTGGCCCCAGCCCTGTCTCGCAATAGCTCCTCCCACTTAATCTAGCCCCCGCCCCCTTCCCGCAATAGCTCCTCCCACTTAATCTAGCCCCGCCCCCTTCCCGTAATAGCTCCTCCCACTTAATCTAGCCCCGCCCCCTTCTCGCAATAGCTCCTCCCACTTAATCTAGCCCCGCCCCCTTCCCGCAATAGCTCCTCCCACTTAATCTAGCCCCGCCCCCTTCCCGTAATAGCTCCTCCCACTTGATTTAGCCCCGCCCCCTTCC